GGCCTTTTCAACCCTCTCTAAGGCAACCCTGGCCTCTGGGGTGAACTCTCTGGGGGAGGCAATGTCCGGGTCCCCCTTCAAGAGATCAAACAGAGGCTTTAAGTCAGAATTGGAGACATGTAAGTAAGGTCTGACCCAGTTTATATCTCCTAATAACTTCTGCATGTCATTTAAAGTGGTGAGATTATCCGTTCTGATGGTTACCTTCTGCGGAGAAACCAGAGTAGAGGAGAGTTTGGCACCCAAGTAGGTCACCACTTCTCCCCCTTGAATCTTGTCAGGGGCAATGTTCAAGTTAGCCTTTCTCAGGGCCTTGACCAGTTGGCCTAACATATCTTCTAACATTTTTGTTTCCTTTGCACTGATAAGCAGGTCATCCATATAATGAACGCATCTAATCTTGGGGAAGGCTTTTCGTATAGGGGTCAGCAAGGAATCCAAATAGATTTGACACATAGAGGGACTGTTGGCCATACCCTGAGGTAGGACCACCCATTCGTATCTGAGATCAGGGCTCTCCTGGTTAACCGTGGGCAGGGTGAAGGCAAATCGATGGGTGTCTTCCGGATGCAGGGGAATAGAGAAAAAACAATCCTTAAGGTCTATGACATAGACTGGCCAATGTCTTGGGATCGCTGAGAGTGCCGGAAGCCCCCTTTGAACTGCCCCTAAGGGTTGCATCTGCGCATTGATCGCTCTCAAATCATGGAGCAGCCTCCATCTGCCTGATTTCTTCCTGATGACAAAAATGGGGGTATTCCATGGGGAAGTCGACGGCTTTAAGTGTCCAGCTTGAAGCTGGGTTTTTATTATTTCCGTTAGTGCTGAGAGCTTCTCCTTGGGCAGGGGCCACTGAGGTACCCAAACTGGACTTGGGGACTTCCAAGTGATTTTAATCGGGGTGGGTAGGAGAACTTCTTCAGTGGCCCCTAGAAAAAACCCAGGCCATGTCTGCCTTCCTTCTTCTCCATAGGTACAGGGGAAGTCTGGCCCTGTAGGGCAGAGCCCAAGCCCTTGCCGGGGATATACCCTTGATTCTTAAGCATGCCCTTGGCCTGAGGAGAACAATTGGATGTAAGGGTGACGTCCATCTGGGTAAGGATGTCTCTCCCCCACAGAGACACTGGCAGTTGTAGGACAAAAGGCTGGAAATGACCCTGGTGGCCTTCCTCATCACACCAAGGCAGGGTTATGGCGCTAACCTGAGGAGCTGTCACCATCCCTAACCCTTGAAGTGTGTTGTCTGCTGTATTTGTGGGCCAACTAGAGGGCCAGTCCTTCTTAGAGATGATAGACCGATCGGCCCCAGTGTCCAAAAGCCCTGTAATTTTTCTCCCATTTATTCTCAATGATAACATGGGTCTTTTGTCAAGTGTCAAATGCAGCCCTTCGAAAATCCCCGACCCCGCGCCTGGTCCCCTACCGCCCCTGATCCTCTGCTGAGAGGGGAATTTTCCGTGAAGGCTGGGGAGCAACAAAAGCTGCGCTATCTTATCTCCCTCGTTAATGACCAGAGTTCCGTTAGGGGATCGGACCAGAATTTTTATGCGGCCTGTGTAGTCAGAATCAATGACTCCGGGGACAACAATGAGACCTTGCAGGGCAGCTGAAGCTCTACCCAACACCAGTCCAACTGTCCCCTCAGGCAGCGGTCCACAACACGGGGTTTCTACGATTTGGGTACCCAATTCAGGCGTTAGTATGAGTCTGGTGGTGGCACAGAGGTCCAGTCCTCCCAAGCCGAGCGTGGCTCTTGTGAGGTTTGGCTGTCTCGAGGGGACATTCTCAGGGTCCGGGGGCCCACTCCTTGGAGGGGCCCCCTCTGGCCGTTTTTTGTCTCTGATAGCTGTCTGCCACTCAAGCGGTTTCCGTCACTATCAAAGATGGAACGACAGTCCTCAGCACGGTGAGCTCCTTTCCGGCAGCGCCTGCAAATCTCCCCTCCCCCTTGGACGGATCCGCCGGAGCGATTCCTTTGGGGGCACTCACGCTTCAGATGCCCTAGCTTTCCGCAAGTGAAGCAGGCGCCTCCTTGGGGCCTTTCTCTGGCCTTTATTTTGTTATTGGTAGCCGCTGCGAGCAGGGCGGCCACACCTGTGTTGGAAAGGGGGCCCCCTATCTCCCTGCAAATTCTTATCCAGGTGTTTAAGTCCTTGTTCTTATGTGGTGCGATTGCTGCCCTGCATTCTTTAGTACATTGTTCGAAAATCAGTTGCTTGACCAGTGGTAGAGCTGTCTCCTTACTAGGGAAAATCTTTTCTGCTGCATCTTGCATTCTAGCCACAAAATCTACAAATGGTTCTGCGGTGCCTTGAACTACCTTAGAGAGGCATGCGGATGCGGTCCCAGAGCCGCTTACCTGTTTCCAGGCTCGCATTCCAATAGTATTGATCTGCTCGTAGACTGCACTGGGGTACTGCGTTTGATCTTCAGCATATTGCCCCTCCCCCGTTAACATGTCTCTGCTTCATCCCCTATGACCCCCGGCAGCATTCCTCTCTGCCTGTTCTGCTGCGTACTCAGCATACCAAGCCCTCCAATCCAGATAGCTGCCAGCTGGAAGGCAGGCCTTAGCCAATTGGGCCCAATCCCCAGGCGTAAGGGGAATAGAGCAGAGATTTTCTAGTATTGCCACCGTGTATGGAGCTTCGGGGCCAAAAGTCGTGACCGCGCTTTTCAACTCTTTTATCTGCTTAAGGTCAAAAGGCTCCCACACATTCCTACCCTGGCCTGGGGCAACTTGTATGGGGTACACTCCATAGGGGCCCACGTCTATCCCTGGTTCCGGCATCCTTGGTCCCGCCCACCATTTAGAACGCCAGAGCGAGCCATGGAAGTATCTTGAACCCCGAGGCGGCTCAGCATAGGACGGTGGCGATGGGCGGGGACCGATAGTAGCCGCCAGTCTCCTAACCTCACTCTGCGCCCCCTGGTGGCACAGTTCCTCACGGCGCACCGCCTCCGGAAATAGGTCCCAAGGTGGGGCCGAAGGTAATTTCTCCTGTCGCCAGCAGGGGTCAGCAGAGGGTTTCTCTTTTTCTCCCTCCGCGTCCCCCATTGAGATGGCGCGGAGCTCGCGTCGGAGACCCCCGTAGATGCTTTTCCTGGACTGTGCTTCTTCATAATAGGAATCAGACGAGTCCGATTCCTCCCCCCTGGGGTCTTCCTCCCGAAGGGAACCTTCCCTAGAGTTTTCAGCTTTCGCCCGTTCGAAGGCTTCTCTCACCTCTTTGATACCTGCACCATGGACAGCGGGCGGGAAACCCTCGTTTTCCTTCTCTAAGCAGGTATGTATCATCTCCCACAAGGGGCGAACGGAAGGGGATAAGTCCCCGCCGAGCTCGGCAGAGGCCAGATCCCCCCCCAACCTCTCCCATGAAGGCAAAGTCAAACGTCCCGTGGGTAGGAACCACGGGGCTATCCGGTCAATCTTGGCAATAAACAGCTCGAGAGTGGCACGACTTACCCCAAGATCTTTTGTTTTTAACAGTCTCTTAAGGGCCTTGGCTAAATCCCCAGCCTCTTTGCTCGGTAATTGGCCCATATTCTATCAAAAGATACCCTCGGGTGGCTAAGATCTGCTCACCTCGATACCTGGCGTATGTACACCAGGGGAGTTAAGAAACTTGCCCTGTAGGTGCGCGCCACCCAGGGCCCAGGCGTACTCCCAACTTACCTGGCCGACGACCTCTGCCGTGTGGTAAGCCAAAAGCGGTCTGTCTCTGTCTCTGCATTACGGGGGTGATCAGCTCCCCGTACGGGCCACCAAAATGCGCCGCGCGGCCTCTGAACCCCCGACCGGCAGGGGAACTGACTCACACGACACACCAGAATGCAGAGACAGAGGTCGCGTTTATTGACTCTCCACACAGGTCGTCCCCGGAACGTTCCTCCCTGATCGGACTCTCCAGTGGGGCTCTCTCTGTTGAGTAACCCCGCGTAGTCCTCCACTCTCTATGGTCTGCGTGTCTTCTCTTCTTCTCTACCTCCTGCTCTGTCCTTATATCTATAGTCCTGTCCTATAGGGTAACAAGGCGTGGCAAAGTCTGATTGGGGGACATCAGCTGTAGCTAGGCAGAAGCTGAGGGTAAGAATACGGAAGTAGGAAACGGGCGCCATCTTGGCATCATTCGATGGGAGGGGTAATCTACTGAAGGCTTCGCTCTTTCCTACAGGCCTCATCTGCTTAGGCAGGTCCTCTGGCTCGGCTCCCGACAGGAGATGATTTCTGGAATCAACTCAGTGACTTGTCAGGGTATCTGAGATTCTCTTGGCCTTTACGTCATGGAGAAAGAGTGATGTTGAATTTAAATAAAACAGACAATAAAGTTTAAATACAGCCCAAAATGTGTGATAATTATTTAAGTATAGGGCAACATTATTTAAAGTCATAGTCTAAATAGAAAATAGAATAGCTAAAAATGGTAGTTGATTGTTTCTTTAGATAAGGGTAGTAAATACGAAGGGAAGATTCTTCATGGCCTTTCTTGAACTCTGAAACATGGAGTCATAACCAAGTGTTTTAGACTTACTTCTGTTCATCTGAAGGAAAGTATTAAAGCCCCAAAGACTCTGGGCTTCTAAGTAACCAAGTGTAAACTACTTTTTAAAAGTTATTATTTTGAGTTTTTGAGAGAAGATCTTGCTATGTAGACCCAGTTGATCTTGAACTCACAATTCTTCTTAGCCTCCCAAGGGCTGGGATTATGGGCTTGTGCCACCATGCCACCATACCTGGCTGCAGAAATGTGTCCATTTTCATAGTTGGAACATTTTGACCCCATAAGCCATCTTTGGTGCCTTTTACCTAATGCTAATCTAACATAGGTTACTTCTAATAATTGTTTATAGTCATGAAACATTCTTTGTATTTAACTTTAAATCAAATGTTACAAAGCTAATATCTAAAATAGACTTCGTTTGAGTATACTGTTAAATTTAAAAAGCTAATAATACAGTTTTTTGTGGTTTGTTTTGTTTGTTTGTTTGCTTGTTTTTAGGTACAACAGGGGAGAACTGGAAATTCAGAGAAAGAAGCAGCACTTCCTTCTACAAAAGCTGAGTTTACTTCTCCTCCATCTTTATTCAAGACTGGACTTCCACCAAGCAGGTTAGACAGACAGTTGTAACTCAATTATTCTAAGAGTTGTTATCTTTATATTTTTATAAAATCTATCACCATTAACCAACAAAAACTGAAACATACCACTTTCATACAAAACGAATTTTCAGTGAAAAAAATTTTAGGGTCATTTTCTAACTTAAACCTGGATAAGCAAGAAATGAAGTATAATATATATTTATGAGTATATGTGAAGAGATAGTTATCCTATTTTTAAGAGAGGTGCTGATTTTTTTGTTTGTTTGTTTCTCGTGTGTATTATTCTTACAGAGAATTATTGGACTTCCTAAGTCTAGAGCCATTGGGTTTAAAGGTGTTTTTGCTGATTTTAGTGAAGGGTAGTAGAAATTTACCCTGGGAAACCTTTTATATTTAAACTACTTTCTTTTCTTTATTTGGTTTTAAATGATAGCACTTAACCTCATATCTACAAATACTAGATTTAAGAGAAATACATGCTGCAAAATACTTTTTCTCAAATGTGACAAATAGTTACCTTTCTACCCCATTACAAGAAAAATGGCAAATGATAGGCTAAGATGAGTATGTCAAGCAGTTTTTCTGTCTTAAACCTGAGCCTGAAACAAATCAACTCAGTTGTTATTATTTCTCAGCCACATTGTTTACCTCTCATGTTGCTTCTTTATTTTATACAATTTTCTGTTTTCATCTTTTTACATTTTTTTAAATTATTATAAGAGGTTCTACTTCCTAATATACTAATGCAGGAAAAGGCCTTATGGGAGTGAGTATCTTGTTTAGCCCTAAGATGAAGATTTTTGGAGCTTTCAGCCAAAATTAAATGTCAGAAAGGAATTCAAGATTTTTGTGGGTTGTCATATGTTATCAATTATTTATACTAAATGCAATCTCATAAAATGTTGGGAGTAATATGTAGTAATTTGGCTTTCATTTTGTTTTTATAAAGGTCAGTTTTGGTTCATTGCGTTTTCAGTGTACATTGAGTACAGTAGTGTGATAATGAGAGCTTGAAACTGGAGTTAGACTTGGAATTCAAAATCTAGCCTTGCATTTTACTGGTTTTGTGTCCCTGGGCAAATTTCTTAATCTTGTTTAATCGGGATTTTCTAATCTATAAAATGTAGCAGTAGCACTTCTCTCCCACTGTAGTTACATATTTTAAATTAATTAATTTGCATAAAGTGTTTTATAACAGCATTTGGTGATTGAAAATATGCTAGGTGTTTGCTATTGTAATTAAACTGTGTAAAAATCAGCATCAATTTTCTGCACTTTGTCTTTTGTATTTTGTTGTTATTTTGGGTTGGGTTTTAAAATCTCAATTTAGGAGCTTTAGTAAGAATAGCCTAGAGTGATGAAGAGTGGAAACAAGGACCTGTTGGAAACTCAGTTACCTAAGCAGAGGTAATGGTGACCCGGGTTAAGGTGATAGTGATAAAGATGGTTAAATAGTTGTCACTACTGCTAAAATACTAAATGGTAACCAATATCCTATTTTGAGCTGGGCTTGGTGGGGTCCGCCTGAAATCCCAGCATTGAGGAGGCTGAGGCATGCGGATTGCTGAGCGTTAAGCCATCCTGAGCTACCTAGTGAGTCCAGGCTAGCCTGAACTACATAGCAAGACTCTATCTCAAGAAAACAACAAAAATAATAACAAAAACCAACCTGTCTTGGTGGGTTAGGTATAGATTGTAAAGAGAAAGGTTTTGAGGGTGAATCCAAGGATTTTGTCCTCATCTCAGTTTGAATGAGAGACTTGTCTTTTCTGAGATTGGAAAGATAACAGTAGGTGTGGCTTTTGGAAATAGAAGACAAAGAATTTAGTTTAGGACAATAAAGTTGAAGTGACTAACATACAAATGGAAAATTTGAGTGAGACCTTGGATATGTGAGTCTGGGGTAGAGGGGAAGAGAATCAACTAAGATACAAATTTGGGGTGATCATTGTATGAATAGTATTGAAATGAAGCTGTGGAGTAGAATTAGACTATAAAAGATAAGTATTGCTAGAGAACTGATAGAACACTCCTGTATAGGCAAGAAAAATAAATCTGTAAGAGAAAACCAATGAGAAAGACTAGCAAAGAAGAAAACCCCATTGTGTATATTGAATAGTTTTAAGAAGGGATGATCAACTGTTAATGTTAAACATTAAGGATTAGTTAAGATGAAGACTGAGAATAACAATTGGATTTTCCATTGTGTTGGTCATTGGTGATTCTGAATAGGGTCATTTTCAGTGTACAAAGTCCAATTAATGACATTGAATTGGATTTAAGGGAAGATGAGAGGAAAGACTTTAGGAAAAAATATTTTTTAAACTCTTTTGTATGGCTGCGAACTGGTTTCTAGAGGGATATATGGATTCAGGAGAACTTTTTTTTTTTTTTTTTGGTCTCGGGGATCGAACTCATGACTGCGCGCTTGCAAGGCAAGCACTTATTGCCACTGAGCTAAATCCCCAGCCCCGAACATTTTTTAAAATAAAATACAGTATTTTGTACACTTAATTGTTATTTACTAAGCAGTAAATGATTCATTGCTGAATAGGGGGAAAGAGACAGTTGTAGATCAGTGTACTTAATAAGACCAAAAGATTGATATGTGAGGAGTAAGGTTAAGCTTAAGTAGGAACTTGGACAACAAACAGTTTATTCATAGCAACAGAGAATGCAGGATATACAGGACTAGGTGCAGGGGAGTAGGAGGAGGATCATGGTTATGGGAATAGTTAGAAGTTCTCTTTTGATTGCTGCCTGCCAGCAAAATAAGATGCAGACCTGGAGAGAGTAAAGATGCTGGAAATGGGTTGGTGAAGGTTCAAGAAGAGACAGAAATGTGGGGTCAAGAAAGGGCTTTTTTTCCCCCCAGGATAGGAGACATTATTTCATTTTTATTTGCTAACCAATGGGCTAGTAAAGTGAAAAGTTGATGGGGCATAGCGGTAAACTATTCCCATTTTTTCTTGAGGTTAATGCCATGGTTTAACAAAAAACATACCAACCTGCTGATGGTGCATTTTTCTCACTCTTGTCAAGTATTTGTATATTCATGAAGGATAGAGTTGTATTTAATAGCAGCGGAGGTTGGACCATTATGACAAAGGGAAAGAGAGGCCCAAAAAGCAGCATATAATTGTGGAGGTGATTATAATGTTGGATCATGGAACTAGGAGAGATGGGTAAGGAGAATGAAAAGATAGAGGTGAGTTAGGGACAATAAAACGTTGGTCACAGAAGGACGGGAACATTAGTGGGCTTATCACTACTAAAATAAAAAATGAATAATTGCCTGTGCAACCTAGGGAAACATGTAGCACTTCCGCATGTAAAGGACGTTGTTGATCACTCATTAGGAAAGTTTGTTTTTTGATTCATCTTCAATTGCTCAGAAGGGTACTTTTCATTCATTGTGAACTGTTGCCCTTAAAACATTTTTCCTGTTTTTATATTTATGAAACTGGATAGAAAGAATCTTTGGGGTAAAATCTTGTTGACTTTAGAGAGAAGACAATAATGTTATTATTAAAATGTGATAGAGACCGGAGAGCAGATACTTAAGAGCAGTGAACTGCACTACTGACCCAGATGCTGTATTCCCATTGCTAAAATCTTGGATTGCATTTTATTTATTTATTTACTTATTTATTTATTTATCTATTTGGTACTGGGGATCGAACTCATGACCTCGTGCTTACAAGGCAGGCACTGTGCTGCTGAGCTATATCCTTGGCCCTTGAATTGCATTATCATTGCATAGAGAATTACTGAGTTTCTGACTTTCCAAACTGCCTGGCAAATTAATATACTTAAATAAAGTGTTATATTTAGTATATAACATATCAGATTGTTCTGCTTAATCATTTTGGAAATACATAGGTACTCGCAAAAAACAATATTTTGAATTGACAGCTTAATGACTTTTTAAAAATGACATCCCATGTCAACCAGCACATAAATCATTAAACAGAACATTACTATTTTCCTTGTAGTCCCTGTTGTGCCCCTTTGTTTTTGTTTTTATTTTTATTATTTTGACAAAAATTGTAACTTACAAAGAGTTGAAAGAAAAAGTACAAAGGTCCAGTGTGGTGGTGTATGCCTGTAATCCTAGCACTTGGAAGGCAGAGGCAAGAGGGTTGTCATGAGTTTGAGGCCAGTCTGGGCTACATAAGCAAGTTCAAGGTTAGCCTGCACTACATAGTGAGACTCTGTCTCAAAAAAAAAAAAAAGGAAAAGTACAAAGAACTTTTACAGAGTCACCAGGTATTAACATGTTGTCATATTTGCTTTATAATTTCTGAGTAAATTTTTCCTGAGTCATTTGAATGTTAATTGTGAGCATTATTCCCTTTGAGTGCTAAATTCTTCCATGTGTGTATCTTCAGATCAAGTAAATTCAGCTACATAATCTTACGATGATCATAGGACATGCTTACCAATGTCAGAAAAATCTAATAATGGATTAATACTTTCATCTAATAGTATCAAAAGCCAGACATTTTGCTAGTTAACCCTAACAAGGTCCTTCATTGTACTTTTCTTTCCTAATTGCGGGTTTATTCCAGGATCACTCATTACATTTGACTCTCATTATATTTTAAATATGGAATGACTTCTCAACCTTTTGTTGTATTTTGTGAAAATGAATTTTAAGAGTATAGTCAAGTTTTTGTAAATGGTCACTAACTCTGGATTTGCCTGATATCTCCTCACTAATAGATTTAAGTTTTGCTTTTTGGGGTACCATATGTTTAAGTGATATGGGTCTTTCTCATATCTTCCTCTGTGCATTAAACGTACATACCCACTTTTTCTATTATTTTATTAGTGATAATATCTTTAATTACTTGTATCCTTTGGGTTTCTTTATGTTGTGAAAAGTTACTATTTTCTCCTTTGTGTTTAATTAGGAATTTTGTAGGGAGAGTGAGTGGAAATATTTCATTCTTCTATCCTAAAAATTGTAGCATCCATCCATGATTTTAATTTAATCAGTTAGTGTAGTTACTGCAAAACAGTGATTATCTAGGTCTTTTATTCTCGACATTAGTTGCATTCTACTTTAAAAATGAAGTTTCCTGCATCTTCCACTTACGTATTATTTTTAGATTTACTCACATTTTATGTATGAAAGTTGTATATGTATGGCTTAAATTAGGTTAAATAACATACTTTCTGTTATGTGGTCACAGGGCACGTTATATGTAAAGCATATGTACGATTTATATAAAGTGTAATTCATTTCGATGCTAAAAGTACTCCAAATATGAACAGGGGGAACCTCTTCAGACTGCTTCCCTGACCTTTGACATACCATGTCACTGTTTTGTTTTGTTTTGTTTTCAAAGATTCTTTAACTAGCAAACCTACATCTTCCAGACTATTTTGTGCTTTCTAAGCGTCTTCCCAAGAAGCCATTTCTTGAAGTGGCTCCTCTTAGTGAAAAATCATTAAAAATCAAAATCAGAGTAATAGCTGTATTCATTGTAATGGGTTGTCATTATGTATTTCTAGGCCTTTTTAGCTTTCAAAGTTAGGAAAACAGTAGCAGTTTCAATATGAAACTTTCTTAAACATATTCTTTCTAAAAAATTTTTAATCATGATATATTCCTTTTACATCCAATTCTTTACCACGGGGTTTTTCCATTCTCTTACTCCTTATTAGGGCTCCCTTTTCTCATAGTGAGAACCTGGTTCCTGATAAGTTCAGTATGAATACTCGTTTGGTTTCTCTTCAAATACATGTGAAAGACTTTGGAACTTTTGCACTTAAACATTCCAAAAACCCATTCCATTAAGTGAAGGTCAACTTATGTTTATGGTTGTGTTTCTTTTTCTTTTAGATTAAAGGTAACTAATCAAAATAATTGTGTTTAGAAATTTCCTTTAAAGTGGTAATGTTAATTATTTATAATATAAATTGGTTCATAGTATCTTTTGGCATTTCTTTTCCTTCAGAGTTACCCTTATAATTGCTTTTGCACATATGAAACATACATTATTCCAAAGGCCAAACCTTCTAAAAGTATATAGAGATTTGTCAGTCTGTTTTCTATTTGTTTCATCACTATCAGTAACATTTCATTTAATTTCTGGTTTATTCTTACCTCCTGTCTTTTTTACATAAAGTTACTATGTAAATGTATTTTTCCCCGATTACTCTGAAAGAGCATTTTAATTGTTTTTAAAAGGATTAGCAGGACACCACTAGGATAAAGTTAACTTTCTTTGGAATTTTACTTTGAAAGAATTATGTTATATTTGAAGTAGAATTTTAATAAAATGCATGTAGCATAGGCTTTTATGACACACATCAGTGTTACTGTTAACTGGTTGCACCTGAACAGTATCTATATCTTTTAAAGAATACGGGGGAAGAAGTACCAATATATTGAGTACAATATTATAAAACTGCAGAAATTAATGTTATTACTGCATAAAGGCACAGAAATTTGTTTCTCTATAATGTATTTTAATCTGAGTCTAGCTCTTTGTTCTTTTTTCCTTTATGCACTTTAATATCATAGTGTTTTGAAAGAATATTTTCTAAAAATATTCTAGAGTTACTAAAATGTTCATAACACACCTATATTTAAATTCCACTAAGTAGTTAGTACCATAACAAATATTTTGTGACTTGAAACAAATGATGTACAAATATGCTAAAAAACTTTAGAAAAAGCATGTCAAGAATTTTTTAAAAAGAAAACAAAACAGGAAAAGGGGGGTCAGAGGCAACAATATGTAAGAAAAAACATAGAAAATTTATCTCACCAGAAACAGCACATCTTCTCAGTCTCAGACAAGTACTGCCTCCAGAAAAGCCAATTCAAGCGTTGGGAAGTGGCAGGATCGATATGGGAGGGCCGAATCACCTGATCTAAGGTAAGGCTATTTTTAAACATTGGATACTCCCTGATGTTTAGATCATCAGTGTTGTTTTGTCAAATTAGTACAGTAACAGATTTTTATTAGACTGTACCATCTTTTTATCTTCCAAATTATGTTTTTTTAGGGTACCATTGACAGTTTTTTAATTATCTTATTAATGAAGACCTAGCATGTGTCTTCTCACACCTTTGGTCTTTTATATGAATTGCCTTGATCCACGTAAACTGGTGGTCAGTAAATGATTTTTTTTCTCTTCCCCCTGCTGCACATTTTTCTTTCTTACGCCACATCCTGTTAAAATACCCCAGGTAGTTTTCATTACTTAATGATAAAATCTAATCAGTGTTTAGGACCTGTAAAATTTAACTCCACTGAACCTTTCCAGTCTGTAGTTAGCTGCAGTATATGAACCTTCCATTCCATTGAGTCTAATGATTGTCCTGGAATGTTGATTTTGGGGTAAGGAGGTATTCCTAGGCAAGTTACCACTAAACTACATCCCTAGCTGGTTTTACTTTTTTAGACTGTTTCCCTAAATTGTCCAGGTTGGATTCAGAATTTTAATTTCTCATGCCTCAGCATCCTAGGTGGTTGGGATTATAGGAATGTGCCAACTCTCCTGGCTTTATGCCTTGACCCTGATTTACCCACCATAGAATTTTCATTTATGTTTTAAATTATGTAATTATAAAATTATCTGTACTTTCAGAACAATATTGTGCTGTGTTGTTTTAGCAGGTTAAAGAATGAGATTTTATATATTTTACTATTTTAAGAACACTCATTGTCTTTAAAATATATATCATTTTAATTGATATTTTAATGCAAATTCTACTTGGAGAACCAAGAGATATTCCAAGGGTTATTTTAAATTAAAAAATTATATCTTACAAACATACAGTGGAGTGTATGAATTTTTTCAGTGCTTGACATTTCTGTGGAATCCACAGTTTTAATACTTTTATTGATGATATTTCTATCTAACTAACTTCACCTAGTCCATAACCCTTGGATTTATGTTTAATCTGGTCAGCAATATGGGTAGCATATTTATTGGTACTCAAAAGGCTAGACATTAAGAAGTTCAATTATAAATTCTGCTTATATTATGCTACTATTGATAATGCTTCCATAGATAATAAAGTAGTAGCCATCTCTGTATATAATTTTCTTAAATGTACATAATGTAAGTATTGGAGTGAATTTTAGGTCTAGCTTAGTGAGTACCTGCCTATATGAATCAAATAGTGTTCATTAAGTCTCTGCCTCTGTTACTGCATTTTTTTTCTTTTTCTTTTTTTTTTTTTTTTTTTTTTTTGTCTTTTTCATTTTTATCGGTACCAGGGATCGAACTCACGACTGCCTGCTTGCAAGGCAGGTGCTTATGCCGCTGAGCTAAATCCCCAGGCCCACGTTACTGCATTTTTTACAGTGCTATGGATAGAGTATATAATCTGGAAATTCACTTCTATCCTGAAATGATTTTCTGGTTAATCCTGGTTTACAATGGAAACAGAGATGTTAGTTTGTCTGTATTCATAGATAGCTAAGAGGCAAATTCAAGACTAGAGTTCTTCAGCTTATTTCAGGAAAGTTGATTTTCATAAGCAAAGGCATAATTATGGAGGGTAAAAGCTTTATCACAAGTTCTATACAAAAGTGAATGGTTTGACTGCATTAATGATTGCATTTATGTCCTCCAGTGAGTTATATTTGAGCATATTTCACATACTAGCATTTAGAGTGTTTTTTTAATAGAACCATAGAGTTTAAAAAGAAACTTAACCTTTTATAAGTTTAGGCCCCAGAAAGTTGATAGAGAAGATACTTTTGTAGAAGAAACTACTGAATTGGGAAGGGTATATGGAGTTTGAGCTTGAGTATGCAGAGCCTAAATCCTGATGTTTTCACTTGATGCAAAGAGCCTCTTTATACAACAATGAAAATCACTCATTATGGATTTACTCCTTACTTGCAATATTTTTGTAAACATTAAATAACTTCTAAACCTGTAAAGACCTTTTAAATAAGGATCAGACGATAAGGTCAGATACCTAGTAAGTATTAGCTCCACTTGGTTCCCTGCTTTGATCACAAGCTTTATCAGTTCTTTAAAAGTGGTGCTTAGACAAAATAAATGATGTATGTTTTACTTTTCTAGGTAGAATTTGTTATTTATAAATATTAACCTACACATTAGAACATTCTAAATTTTCTTCATAAATTACAAAGCACAAAAAGTTATTCTGCTTGTGAAAGTAAAATTCACATATTGATATAGAAATAGTATTGTAGGTTTGGAGATTTAGCCCATCGACAAAGCACCTGCCTGGCAAATGCAAGGTCCTGAGTTCAATCCCCAATACAAAAAAGAAAAAAATAATATCACTAGCTTATTAAAGATCAATGTAAACATATGTTATGAATTATATCTGAACCTCAACTACCAAACTCTGTTTAGGAAGAGTTTGTGTTTATTATGTAATAAATTTAATTTTCACTAGCCCTTTAAAGTCTGTCTATAGGAGAACCAAATTTATATGTTTCTTCCTTGCACATTTCCTTAAGAGTTGTAGTCTTCAGCGTTAGCTATATATTGGATTATTTGGGAAATAACAAAAAAATGCTGATGCTGAAGTCCACGATATACTGTTTTAAGTAGTCCATTGTATACCCTGGGCATCAGGATTATTAAGATCTCCTCAGGTATTTCTGTTGGGTAGTCATGGTTGACAAGAATTGATTTAGAGACTAGATTCTGTCCTGGCTTAAAAATTAAAATCAAATGCTAGCTGGACTTCTTGGGTTTTGAAATAAAATGACAGATTCATTTATAATGAGAATTGACAATTTGCATAACATTTTACAGAGCCCTTTATGTGACTTTCTTTGCTTTTGCCTCTTTGGTAGTCATTTCACTGATAATTACTGTCAAAGGTGGACTGTGCTTCTTCTGTTGCAAGCACAGTGACAGATAATATATTTGCTTAGTAGAAATATTGCACATGTATAATACTTTTGCTAACATCTTTTTTCTTAGTTTGTGTTCTTCTTTCCATCTACAGTGTTCCCTCTTCCCAATGATGTGTTTAAATCCTAAATCCATCTTGTACTTTTTATGACTCACCTCTTTGCTACGGTAGCTTAAAAGATGTTGGGCCAGTTTCCACATAGACTGTTTATAGTCATCTATTTAAATATATGACCTGAATCAGATATTGTGACAACTACATCTGTTGTAACTTAGGAATATAAAAAAGACATAGTCTTATTTTTTCCTACAATACAGACTTTTAGATTGTCTGCTACTAAGTTCCTATTATAAACTCTACTGGGGGAAAACATTCCTGGATTTCTGTATGGTTGTGTCATTCAACTGTTAAGAATAGTGATTGTATACTTTCTTGGAAGCAGTAACTCTTGAAAGTTCACTGCATAGTGTGGTCTCTTGTATTTAGGTTCAGGGACTTCCTGATCCTTCTTAGAAAATCATGTGTGCTAGTAGGGGGATGGTCGGGTAAGGGAATTTAAAAAAAGGAAGCAAATTGTATTATGCACATGTATCTTCTCTGCAAGATGATGTAAAATGCATGTACTGAACACATACACTACAAAAAAAAGTTCTCAAAAATACATCAAAACCAAAGCCGTAACATTAAGGAAGACAGACATATTATTTTGGTTCCCTTGATTAAATTACTTTTATTGATTTATGCATTGTCATTCTTCACACAGTGTTGAGAGATATTGCAAACCATTTCTGTGAAATTTGTTTTCATTGAAATGGTCTTGGAAACCGTATCTGAATGCTTGTTCAGTGTGAGGTTGCAATCCACTAGTGAGGTTATGAGATTTGGTGGTTCCTACTAGGATTCCTAGGTTTTATATTGTTCATTTTGCCTTTTTTACTATTATATTTAAATATTAATATTTAATATTAAATATATATTTATAAATATCACTTCGGTATTAGTGTTTTGCTCTTTCCTTTTAGTAAGCGTTATTTCATGAAACTTGAGTTCTTTATGTAATATGAGTTACATAAATTATGTATGTTTTGGACTGCTTTGCAAAATATATTACTGTGTCTTTTGTGAATAAAATTGAAAAGTCACTGTACTTTATCATACTTTCTCTCTCTCTCTCTTTTTTTTTTTTTTTTTTTTTTTTTGGTACCAGCAATTGAACTCACGACCTTGCCAGTCAGGCACAGTGCTGCTGAGCTATATCCCTGCACCCATCATACTTTCTCATATTAAACTATAAAGATTGGTGTTTGAATAAAATTTATTGCAGTAAAGGTCATATGCCCTTAATCCCCATCATTGTTCTCACCCACATGAGTGTTTCTAACACATTTATCCCATCGTTCCTGCCACTTTCTAAAGCAGTTCTGGCATCTTTTTCTCTGAGTGTCTTTATGGGATGTAGTCAGAAACACAGTGAATTCCGCGGCCGAGTGCCACACAAATGACAGGCAGGTCCATAAAACATTATGGTGTGTTCTCATCAGACTTATTCACCAGATCTGACACTGTACAACTTCTATTTTTTCCCCAAAATAAAAACGACCGTGATTGATAAATGTTGTGAATTGGTTTGGGCCATTGAGGAGCCACATGTGTAATTATAGACATGAAAAAGGAGTTCGAGAAATGCTTCACAAAGTGGCAGGAATGATAAGTGTGTTAGAAGTGTGTCTTATAATAATTTTTAAAAGTAAACCTTGACTTTATTTAATGATCACACCTGTGGACTGAAAGAGAGCTTTTCCTTATTCTCATTTGTAAAATGGGAATAATAATAATAATTGTTACCATATAGGGTTGTTATGAGAAGTAAATATATATATATATATATATATATATATATATAGAGAGAGAGAGAGAGAGAGAGAATAGTGTTTACGTGGCATGGTAAGTGCTTAATAAATACTAAAATTACTGGGCAACATAATCCTTAGATTAAGTGCTTTGTTTTTATCCAATGGAATTAAAGGTTCTGTATTAATGATGTCCTTTTGCTTCAAGTACTAAAAAGAAGTAGGTGAGAGATAAAATTATGTCAGAAGATTACCAACTAAGTTTCTTGTCTTTCAGGCCAGGGACTTAGCTCAGTGGCGTAAGCGCCTGCCTGACAAGCACAAGTTTGTGAGTTCGATCCCTGGTACCAAAAAACACCCTAAAAACATTTCTTGTCTGTCTTCCCTTAAGCCTGAATTGTCATTTGAAAATTCTGTTGCATATCTGAAGGCAGGCCTCAAACCCTTCCAGTGACATCAGAATTTTCAAACTATGACATTTTAACTTATTCCTTTATAGTTTGAGATACTTTTCATGTTCACCTCTGCCAGGAGGAAAGTTGGAAACTCATGTGAACAGTTACTGTCTGTTTAAATTGTAGATTAACTCATTGGTTAGTTTCTGTTCCTGGGATTTTTACTAAATGGTTGAATCCAGTATAGAAAGAATGGTGATTGAAGCATTAGCTGTCTAACCTTGTTGAGTAAGTTTGTAGATCCAGTTAAAACTGTGCTATGTGAAATTCTAAGTTATAAATGCCTTTAAATGAAGCTTTAATAAATGTTTTTACACAGAGTAACTAAAAGATGTCTGTCAAGAACTTTCATATACGTTTGGGCCAGGTATACAGCTCAGTGGCACAGTGCCTGCCTGGCCTGGCCAAATCCTGAGTTCAATTTTTGGTTCAAAAAAAAAAATTTTTTTTTTCATTGAAGGCTGGGAGTGTGGCATGATGGTATAGCACTGGTCTAGCCTGTGGAAGGTTCCGGGATTGACTCCTGGGTATGGAGGGGTGATAACACAGGATAGGACACAGAATGGGACAGGGACAAAAACTCTCATGGAATAATACAGGTCAATATTGTTTTCCATACTGTGGCATCAGAATGCCTTTGGATGTTTATTTATTTTAAACATATACTCCTGGGTGCTTTGTTATACATAGTATGTCTATGTCGTAAAACATTTTTGTACAAAATGGTAAATTTCATTTGATTAGTGTAAATCAGATTGTGCAGTAAAAATTCCTGGACAATGAGGACTTACAAAAATGTAGGAAGTTGCGGTTTTCTAAACTTGTCACTAGAGACATACACTTGTTAAGACTGATTTCTGAGTGCTGAGAAGCATGGTATTTGGGGCTGGGTGTGTAGCTTGGTGGCAGAGCACTGTTCTAACATTCATAAGGCCCTGGATGTATCTGTAGCATAACAATAGCAAAACCCGCAGCGTTTGCCATTTTGGAGTTCTAGCAGTTTTTAAAACTAAAAATCTTAACTGTACTTAACTGACTGTATTAAAGTTTAAGAGAGAAATATTCCCATGTGTCCCAGAATCTTTGAAAACCAAAGTCCTTACAGGTCATTGGTAAAAGAAGAAGTAACAATGTTATGTCTGGATTTAATTTTTACAACCTTTAATAATTTGGAGAATTTTTGATCTAAATTGAAAATTAAACAAATTTAGGAGAATTGGTCTTGGTGGAAATAAATGCAAAATTGGAAAGGAGACAGATTCTGAGACGGGAGTAGAACAAAGTAGGAAATGAAATAGTGCAGTAAAAGAGTTCGTGACAGTAAGGTCTAGGGAGCAGTAGATGGTGAGGGCAATCTTGATTTCAGAATATGTATCTGTGTCTGGTAGGATGTTGAAATCTAAGAGGGCTGATGCTATGCACTTTAATACGAAGTGGTGGTAGACATAGCTTTTTAATTATTTTAAATTTTAGGGTAGGAGTGAGAGGACAACTTGTTTTATCTTAGAGGTATTTGAAATTTTGTTATGTGTCAGTGCTAAGAGTATATCCCAGTTATATTTGAGGCAATAGGTTGAGTGAAATCACTATTTATTTTGGGGATCATGAGGGAATCTAGGAGGTCAGTGATCTAGCTATAAAATTAGAGAAACATTCAACTTGTTTATTATATTAAAAGTATAGGGAAAGACGTCAGCTTGGAAAGAGGTAGTGAATATTGACCGTAGATTTGAAGATATTTCAAGTGTTGCTCTATACGTCTAATAATAGGGCTATCTGACGAGTTTAAAAGACCTTGTCAAGCATTTTAAGGTTCATTGCACGTAACCTTTCACTGACTCATTTCCAGAAACATCTTAACTTTGTAAAGGTGAATTATCTTACTAGATGGGAAATATTTCTCAAAAAAACAGGATCTTAGAGCTGTAGGGATTAGAACAATTAAGTTTTGAAAGTTTTGCCATTTCATTTTATTTAGATCAGTGATTACTGTGAATCTTGTATCATATCTAACAGGAAATATTAATTTTGAAGTTGAGGATTTTTGTGAAATGCAGGTATAGTTTAGGCATCCATCAAGTGGTAGCAGTTATTATTAGTCATTTTAAGTTCCTACCTGTGGAAGAATATTGACTGATTCAGAGTGTTGCTGTGTAGTTCAGGCTACCTGGCACTCCCTGTGGAGCCCAGGCTGGCCTCAGACTCACACCGTTACTCCTTTCTCTTGCCTCAGCCTCCTGAGTGTGTATGCTACTGCAGCTGGCTCTACTGTATTTTTAATAGTTTTACTTCTAAAAAATTTAAAAGGCATAGTTGTTACAACTGAAAGATGAAAACATGTGTAACTATTTTGCATCTACTTTCAGTGCCCACACTTACAAAGTGATCTGTTTTGTGAGGCATATGAACTTTTTTTTATTTTAATGTTTTAAGATTTAACTTTCTAGATTTTGCTAAATTTGCAGCATTGTTTTGTGGGCCGACTAATTTTCCATATCCTTATGTATGTAGTTAAACTTTAAAGGGATTGTAAGTTAAACATATGGGAGACTTTTTAATTTTGATTTTTCTGTTTAAAGGCAAATTATCAGGAATTAAAAACTGCTTTTTTTTTTTTTTTTTTTTTTTTTGGTCTTTTTGAGACAGGGTTTTGCTATGCAGTTTAGCCTGGTCTTGAACTCACTTTATAGCCCATGCTAGCTCAGCACTCACAGTGATTCTCCTGCCTCAGCCTCCCAAGTCCTGGAATTACAGGTGTGTGCCACCACACCTGGCCTCTTTATGTTTCCTAATGCTTAGAATATATCACTAAAGAAAATACTCTGTGTCCATTAAAGTGAGTCTTTTAAAAAGCTTTTTAGGGGATCTTGGAAAGGCTGCATACTAGAACTATGATATTTGTTTCAATTGTAATGAATGGCCAACAGATTTTATTTTCAGTTTGCCTAGCATTTGTTTTCTGATTCTTGTCTGAGATGATAAATTCAGGTGGACACTGTTTAAAAATAGTAACTTAGACAAAAATCTGTACAAATATTCAAAATTTACTGTTAGTCATTGCTGGATATGGTTCTAGCTTATTAAAAGCTCTTGAAATCATAATTGCAAAGAAGTGAGATCTAGTTAAATAAAATTCTTTGTGTTTTGTTTTAAAATACAGGACAAAGAACTTTAAATTTTATTTCTCATTTAAATTTTAATTCTTTTTCAAGTATCTAATGAGATGAAAACTAAATAGGCTCAATTTTTGTATTATAGGAGGTTACCTGGAGCGATTGATGTTATTGGACAAACTATAACTATTAGCCGAGTAGAAGGAAGGCGACGGGCCAATGAGAACAGCAACATACAGGTTTAGTATTTTAACATCAGATTTTTTAGCTGTGAGATTATATCTACATCTAATGTAATTAAAATTTATGATTCTGGATTGTTCTTAGATTTTTCTCTTGTAGTAAACTTAATGTATGGTTTCATTTATGAAAAAATTGGAATAAAGCAGTAAGTCTTCATCTGAATATCGATCTTAATTTTATGAGACATTTTTACTAAGCAAAATCGAGATGCTGTTTTGAATATATTTTTTATGTCCTTTTTCATGCAAATGATATTCCCATGTTAATCTTAAAAATACCTTCTAAAATCTGTTCAATTGCTTTCTTATATTTACCATAATTTAATGTGCTGTTTCTGGAGAAACAGCATTCTTTTGTCTTCAAAATGAAAGAGTCAAAGAAAATGAGTTACGAGTAAATTAAACAACTAATGTTAGAACTTTAGTAATGGAGCTTACCAGTTGTTCAGCTTGGCCATTCTTTTTCATCATTTATTCCCTTTTTCTGAACACACTAAAAATATTCAGTGGATTTTGATTATCCAGTAAATTAATTATATAAAATATTCTTTTTTTAAGTGCCTTTACAATGAAAGGTAAGCCTCTATTACTTTCTCCCTACTATTAAAACACCATGACTTCTTAAAACATTTTTTGTTCCCTAATTTAAGAATAGGTTATGAGTGTAAATCTTACAAAAATTACTGTATTTAAATGTAGAAAGTTAATGAAAAGGAAGTTTATATATTTAGGTACTATGTTGTAGCCAGCAAGAATTCAAGAATTAGAAATTAAATATATAGTATTATGTTGGCAGTTTTGTTAGTTTTGAAACCTATTTGCACACCAGAATCCCTTAAGCAGTTTGTCAAAAGTCCACTAGGTGCCACTTTATTTGCTGTTACAGTTTAGTAGGTTTGAAGTGCTTCTGATGGTGCCCATTCCTTACCTGTTCACACAGACTAGTATTTCTTTGAAAACAGTACTTACATTTTTAAAGTAGAAACTTGTTATTTTGTTTTGTTTTTGAGATAGGGTCTTGCTATGTTGTTTAGTCTGGCCTTGAACCATTATATAGCCAGACTGACCTCAAACTCACTGAAATCTTCCTGCCTCAACCCCAAAAGTGCTGGCATTGCAAGTGTGCACCACCACATCTAGCCTCTCTGAACCTTGTTCTCAAAGTTACATGGCTCATGTGAAGAAGTTATTTACATAGAAGTCTTATTGCTTATTAACTTCCTACCTATAGATAAATGCTGTACAGTCTGTCTGCACCTGGTAAGAACAGGCTTTCCTACAGTGAATGTCTGACATGTGGCTATGTTTATTTCTTAGGGCAAATGTCTGTAATTAATGATTATATTACTTTAACTTGAATATTTAATGTTGTGTGGTACCAACTATTGCAGTTGCTATATTATATTTATTAAATACTTGTTTGGAATTTTAAAAATTGCTTATTAAAAGTTTTTTGGTAACCAGTTTTTTTTTTCCATAGGCTTTAAATATGAACATTTTTAAGTGTGTGTATATGAGAGTGTGGGATCTTACATATATGTATATATACATTCATAGCAGACATAGAAGTATTACCTCCCCAAATATGTGTGTATATGAACTATACTGCCTTTGACTTTATTCTTAGATTGAGTGAAATAATTTTATAAGATTAACCTAAGACAACATTTACTTATTGCTCTGATGACCTGTCCTCTAATTTTAGGTACTTTCTGAAAGATCTGCTACTGAAGTAGACAACAATTTTAGCAAACCACCTCCGTTTTTTCCTCCAGGAGCTCCTCCCACTCACCTCCCACCTCCTCCGTTTCTACCACCACCTCCAACTGTCAGTACTGCTCCACCTCTGATTCCACCACCAGGTAAGTAATAAAAAAGGCATTTGAATCTGAAAGGAAACCTGTGAATGTTTCTTGTTTTGAGAAAATATACAGTAAAAATACAAGTTTAAAATTAAGTTGATTTATTACATTAAAAGTAATATATTAGTTTATCTCCAACAAATACGTATTAAACAACAAATTTATAACTGATACATATATCTTGTTATTTCAGCTTAGAATGACAATTACAAAATGAAAAAAGATACACAAAAAATACAAAAAGATAAAATAGTAATCCTACAAATATGATCATGGTCCTGAACTAGAGTTGCTGCTAACACTGTATATATAAATCCCTACTGAATTGTAAACTTATGTTAACTTGTTTTGAAAAAACTTTTTTTTAAAAACTTTTAAAGATAATTTTAGCAATCTAGTAGTAAAAAATATATATATCCTACAAAAAGAAATTAAAATTCAAGTTGGTTTTCTTTTAAGTGATTGGTGCTAGGCACCAGGGGCCTGGCATTTGCTTAATGTTAAACAAGACAGAAAAATGTGGTAAATATTAAAAAATATTTTCAGCTACTGTTGATGATTACAAACCAGGTCATCAATAATAGAGAAAAAAATTACAAGTAATACCCAAATTTTATTTTTATTTAATCTTTTATCCAGTGACCTTTTTTACTTTTTTCCCAATAAATTTTTAATATTTATAGTATTCCCCTTACCTAACAAAATTGATTGAGATTATTATTGCTTTCTTTCTAGGGAGAATGGCAATTGTAAATAATAAAAATTAGCTGTTTTTTCTGATGAGACTTGCATAGAGACATATATTAGGATTTGCTTTGTGTAAATAAAAGCAATTTACACTAGAGAGCCATATTCTATCTCTTACTTTATCTTTGCAAGAGAGCTGTTTTACATTAAGATACCATTGTTATCAGAGTCAGATAAATGTCTCTAAATACCAGCTGCTACCTTTTGCCCTTCATCCTAATCACTTTTGATTTCCTTGTACGGACTGCTTAACTCTCAAAAAAGATGAGAAAAATATTACAAAAAGTGATTTCCATTTTTAAACAATCTCTTATTTCAAAATAGAGAAGATCAGAATGGGTTAGATGTGCTTATGCCAGACAATATGATTTCTGAAGTTCAGGGATTTTCTTATCCCCATAATTAAATTGTGCACAAACTATGAGTTGTGATTGGTCTGTGATTCTTGAGTCTTTGCTCAGAATTAATGAAAAGAAATTATGTGATTCATAATAAAGACTTCTGTGATAGTAAATCCATTGTTCTCTAAAAAATGAATTAGATAAAATGCAGAACAGTTAACTTTTGAACCTTTATAATAAGAGTAAAAATTGTTAATGTATGAGATAGTCCTTTGCTGAATAGTCCTTATTATGCTGAATTGCTTTAAAATCCTATTTAAACTTTACTAGGTACTAACAGTGATTTGAACATTTCTTTTATAAAATCTTACAGATTGACTGATGGATTGTTGATGTAATGGGATTGAACTCAGGATCTTTGAACTAGGCTTCAATCCTAGCCCTTTTTATTTTCTTAGTGTTTGTTTTGAGACTTGGTCTTGCCAAGTCACCAAGTTCTCCAGACTAGGCTTGAATTTGTGATCTTCCTGCCTTAGCCTCCCAGATTATTGCAGTTAAAAGCACATGCCACCATGCCCATCTGTTTTTTTAATTGTTAAAATCTCTTAATTGACAAAACTTCTACATATTTATGGCTACTGTATAATGTTTTGATATATATTTGCATTGCATAATAACTTTTAAACTATTTAGCTGTCACTATAATATTTAAAATCTATTCCTTTAACTGTTTTAAAACACACAGTTATTAACTGTATGTGGTCACTAGGATGTAAAATAAATGTCTAGAACATTGTTTTTCTCGTCTAACTGAAACTTTCTATCCCTTGAACAATGTCTTCCACTTTGTGCCATCACCCCAGCCTTGTAACCTTCATGCTACTATTATGAGTTAGGCTTTTTAGATTTCACACATAGGTGAGATCATGCAGTATTGGTTTTGCCTTTATTGGCTTATTTCACTTAGCATAATATCTTCCAGATTCATGAATGTTGTCACTAATGACAGAACAAAAGAATTTCCTGGTATATAATCTAATATAGTATATCTTCAGCCTTTTTATATGTTCAATACTTGTTTGTTAAAGGAAAAAAGTGGAGTGAATTTATAAAAAATGAAATACGTAATTGTTATAAAACTATTCAGAAGGGCCATAGGATATTGCCGATAACCAGTGGCATGATTTGAAAGTTTACTTTTTAAAAAATTGATAGTTAACTTTATTTCTTTGACATGTAACCTCTGTTTACAAGCATAATAAATCTTCAAATAATGGTTAGGCTTATGCATGACATTGCACCATAAAGTACCATTGATTATTTTCTGTTTTTTGGTCTATTTATCTATTATTAATTCTCAGGTCTATGCTTTGTATCCAGATTGTCTTTGATACTTCCTTGGATTATCATTTCCCTGCTAACCTGTCAGAATTTATGGATTACAGATTAAAATAATTTCTAATCCTGATGTAAATAATTCCTTACTGTGGCATGTTGACTGAAAGGATATATAAATTTGTATTAAAACCAAGTATTTGTTAGTTGAGAATATGCAAATTACTCATTTTTTACTAGAATAGGGGTGTCCAAGAGAGTGTATGCTGTGTATTCTCATGTGTATTATCCGCTAATAGTATTCCTAGTGTCTCATGTATATTGGCACTCCTTAAAAATGTTAGCTGAGTTAACGTGTATGTTTTTATAACACTAGACATGAGTTTTCACATGGAGAGTTGGTATAATTGTAATTTGTGCTGGCTGTAATCAGCAGTATGGCTGCAGCTGACTATAGATGCTCATGCTGAAAGCTGTGTTTTCTGTAGCCCTTTGCACAGAACTGTGATTGCATCATGTTCTGTAGTTTTTGTAAGGTGAATCACAAGCAGCAGTGAAAATAAGCCGTGACTCAAGATCTCAAATATTTGCCTCAAAATGTATTCCATTTTTCTTAAGAAAAATCTTGAGCAGTGTTTTGATTTTTTGCTTTCTTTAGAAATATTTAAAAAATGGGCCAGGGATTTAGCTCTGTGGCATAAGCTCCTGCCTGGCAAACATGAGGTCATGAGTTCTATCCCTGGTACAAAAAAAGGAAAGAAATATTAAAAGGGAAGAAAAAAAATCTTTTGAAGATTGGTTTAAATATGTTTTAATGCTACATTTGTTAACACTAGATTTACGATGTGTTTTAAATATCAGGCAAATACAGTGAATATATGTTATGCCTATATTTTAAGATGCTACTAGTTGTTTGTTTTTTAATAAACATAATAGTTGGCTATATGCCCAGAGTTCCCTGAAAGACCTACTTTATCTCACCATAATTCATTATAAATCATTCTCAGACGTGCCCTCATTTATGATCAACTGTGCATGCTTGGAGGTTTGCAGGCATGGCTCATCACTTAAGATAGTCCTTAGTATTTATGAGGTGATAGAGACAACTGTCAACAAGACTTTTACTATCAGATAGTTGACAGAGAGGAAGGATGTATTGCCTCCTTTCCCTCCAATTCCACATCTGCAAACAGGTGTGGGACCTTTTCGTTAACATAGAAGTCAAAGTATTTCTGACAATAAGATTTTTACGAAGAAAGAGGAAGTTTTGAATTAGAGTACAGTGAATGTTGGATGAGACATCTGGAAGTGCAGAAATATTTAATATTGTTCCTTGTAGCCATGCCAACAGGAGCTTGAAAACAAATAATGGTTAATCGTGATCTTCTGTAGTCTCAAAAAAACACAGAAAACCTGTTACTTTAAATTTCTAGTGAATCAGGGAAAAAATTATGCGTTTCTTGAGTAATTATAGAAATAATAGCTAGTACTTAATAGTGAGTGCTTACTTTTGAACACATTGTTCTAAATGTATCTCAGGTACTCATTTGATTTTAGAGCATTTGAAGTAGATATTCTGATTTTACAGAAGCACAAACTAGGATTTACCAAATTTAAGTAATAGCTAGAAAATAACAGAACCAGGATTCCAGTACAGGCATTGAGGTGTGTCTTAATTCCCCTTGGTGCTGGGACAAAATACCAGTGCCACGACTTAGGGAAAGTGTAGTTTGTTTTGGCTCATATTTCTTTCCTCTTTTAGTTGGCTGGTTCCTAGGCAGGATGGCGTGGCAGAGGATGTGGTGGAGGAAAGCAGCTCAGTGTGTGGCTGGTAAAAAGGAAGGAAGATGGTAAAGAGAAAGGAGATATACCCTTGGGGTCACTCCCCCAGGGGCTTTCCTCTTTGACCCCGTCTCCTAATAGCAAGTAAAGTATATTCCACTGTAGTCCAACAGTCACTTTCTGAAGGGGAAACATTTAGATATAAACCACTAACAAAATGGACCGTACTTATCAAGAAAACTATAGTATTGGATTGTGTGTGTTTGGAGTAATAGGCCTTCGAAGCATTCTGCCCAAAGCATCTCCCTGGTGTTAAAGTCTGTGCATAGATCTGGGTAGGGAAGTTGGATTTAAAAAATAGGAAACTGATTTTTTTTCAAAGATGATTTGTATTGTCTATTCTGACCTAAGCCAGCTTTGAAATAATTTTTAATTAGAACAGATATTGTAAAATTGAAAGTTACTGACATTGCAGATGTTGTGTTATTTGTTTATTGTGGTAAAGTACACATATTATTGTAGCCTTTTATAAGTGTACAACAACAATTCATTGTGTAACCATCATCATGATCTATGTCTAAAACCTTTACAACTAACTTTTAAACAATAACTGCTTCTCCCTCTTTCTCCAGCCCTTGGTAACTTATCTTTATCCTACTTCTGCCTTTATGAATTTGCTTATTCTAGGTACCTTCATGTAATACTTGTGTCTGGTTTGTTTTCTTTCTTAAAAAAGAAAATAGTAGTTCAGTCTATGATAGGCTTATGTCTGTGGTAGCCTAACTTTATAATAAG